TTTACACTTGTAAACTTCTTACTGAAGTAATCTGATCCGATTTAACTGCAACATGGCAACAGCAAAAAACTATACATAAGCATTCACCTAACTTCCCTGCTAGGTACGCAACAAGTGTAACTTCAGTAATAAACAATAAGTACTAGTCTTTGATAACTGTCCATAGTTCTTATTTAAACTGTAGCAAGTCTGAAATAAACAATAATCAACAGCAGAGAATTAAGTATTTCAACAGACTTTCATGTGCATGTCACAGACTCTATGGGATAAGCTTCACTGCATGATCTTAGAGTCTCCTGAAAGTGGATGGCACAGTTATTCCAATGCATAAAATTTAAGCATCCGGTAAACAAGCATTAACTACTTGCATACAGAACATAACAAGCTGAATGTATCTAGCATCAAAGTAAATGGTGCAGGGATTATGCGGACTCTGATAATTGCAGAATTATGCATGTTTACTGTAATAACAGTGTCAGAATCACTTTAAACAATATGAAGCAAAAATGAAAATGCAACTTTCACTAAATCCAGCTTTTCTCCACACCTAAGCTGAGAGGTTACTAGCACATCAAGCTCAGGATTTAGAATTTTCCACCTTCACACCTAAGCTGAGAGGTTACAAGCACTTCAAGCTTAGGATTTAGAATTTTCCTCTAAAATACAAATTTTTGCTACTGGTCTCTTAAGTTCATGTTTGGGTGTTTTCAAATCTACTGCTCGAATCCTTTCATCCTTTTCAGGGTAAACAGCAGTAATGCGGCCTAATTCCCAATAACCTCTGGGTACATTATCCTCCATAATAAGCACAAGATCTCCTACTGACACAGATCCGCTCTCTGTCTTCCATTGTTTACGCATGGTTAACTTTGGTAAATATTCTCTAATCCAGCGCTGGCAAACACGATCAGCTACAACCTGACATTGTCTCCACCTGCGTCTACTGTTGTTTTCTTTGTCGTCGCAGTCAGCTGGTGGAAAAGTGTAATTTGCTCGGCCTATCAAAAAATGATTTGGTGTCAAGGCTGTGTAATCTGAAGGATCTGGGCTGTTGTGTGTCAGTGGCTGGCTGTTAATCACTGCCTCTACCTCAATGAGAGCAGTACGAAGAACAGAATCTCTCACCAATATGTTTTTCAGAACAATCTTCAGAGCTTTCTTCACGGATTGCACCAGTCTCTCCCAAGCCCCTCCAAAATGGGGTGCTGCCGGGGGGTTAAAATGCCAATTGATTCCCAGGGGGTACAAGGCATGCTTAATTTTGTCCTGCTGCAGATCCTTTAAACACTGTGATAACTCAATCTCAGCTCCTACAAAATTTGTTCCATTGTCACTGTACATGTCAGTGGGTTGACCTCGTCTCCCTATGAAATTTCTTAGACACAGTATAAAATCATCTGTTTCCAAGGAATCTGCTAGTTCTAAGTGTACAGCACGGGTACTCAAACATGTGAATAAACAGCCCCATCTTTTTACTGTGCACCTTCTTTCCTTCACCAGCATTGGACCTCAGTAATCCACACCACAGCATGCAAAGAGACCATGACTGACATTCAGACGGCACCGAGGCAAATCTGCCATGATTGGCACTTTGGGCAATATTCTTTGTCTCTGACAGATCAAGCACTTACGTATTGTACGTTTCACCACCCAGCGAGCTCTAAGGGGTCAATACTTTTGTCTCAATTCTGCTATCATGTGCTCCTGCCCACCATGGTGTAGGCGGCAATGAACTTCTGTGGCAATAAGGCTTGTAATCGCATGCTCTGCAGGTAAAATCAACTGAAATTTGGCATCATCTGGTACGCTGGCATGAGATATCCTTCCTCCAGCTCTCAAACAGTCAATACTGTGATCATAGAATGGTGATAAAGCCAAAAGTTTGCTGTTCTTGTCAATTGGCTGATTGGCTTTCAAACACGCAATCTCGGTTGGGAAAAAAATATACTGAGCTTTACGTACCCAATATAGAAGTGAATCGGCATATTCCGCAGCAGTTAAACTGCTCTGTCTCGAGGCTTTCTGTTTGAATCTCGGAATGACAGACGTAAAATTTCTCACTGTTCTTTGGATCCATGCAGTCTTCGTACATAACTGATGCAGTGAGGAATAAGTCGATGGATCAACAACACTGGAATAGTCATAATCAGTAGATGATGGGCTGATCTTCGTCATGGTGTTGTGAATAGTAAGGCAAGTTTTCTTAAGCTCAGGGTCCTCTTCCTCAATTTCCATTGGCTGAATTAAAGATGGCCAGTCACCTTCTGAATTATGTAGAAAGGTTGGTCCTTTATACCACAACTGATCTGACACCAGAGCTGAGGCTTTCATCCCTCTTGAACATCTATCAGCAGGGTTGTTTTCTGAAGATACGTGATGCCAATCTTCTTTGGATGTGATGTCCATAATTTCAGCTATGCGATTGGCAACAAAAGGCTTAAATCTTTTTGTCTCATTACGCAGGTACTTCAATACAACTTCTGAGTCTGTCCAATAGACCTGGCGCGTGACATTTAGCTTGAGCTCTTTTTCAAGTGTCTGGGACAAACGTGAAGCTAGAACTGCTCCTTGTAGCTCCAACCTGGGAATGGAGAGTGATTTCAATGGAGCTACACGAGTCTTGGAAGCTAGGAATGAACATTGGATTTTTCTACTGTCATCTTGGTATCTTAAGTATGACACTGCACCGAATGCACTCTCTGAAGCATCGCAAAAGGTGTGAATCTGCACATCACTGGACTTGGATGTAAATTCTGGATGGTGTCTGGGTAACTGTAATTCCTGAAGATTCTGAGTTTCCGACAGCCAAACTTTCCACTGATCCATTAAATCTGGTCGTAATTCATCATCCCACTCAAGTTTCTTGACCCACATCTTTTGCATAAGTATCTTCGCCTGAACAACAAAGGGTGAAATGTAGCCGCAGGGGTCAAATATAGAAGCCATAGAGCTTAGCATTCCCCTTTTGGTCAATACTGGCTTAAGCTTGCAATGAAAAGTTATGGCATCAGCATCAAGGTTCCACTGGATACCCAAGGTTTTCTGGGAAATCGTTGTTCCTCTATCTAAATCAAAGCTCGGCATATTGTGTGTGCTGTCCACAGCAGTGAGAACTTCTTGCCTGTTGGACATCCATTTATGCAGAACAAATCCTCCCCTCAGTAGTAACTCCCTTAAATCTTGGGCTAAACAAATGGCTTCAGGTATTGAATCTCTGGATGTCAATAAATCGTCCATGTAGAAATTTTCATGCACTGTCTTCACCACACCTTCACTGTATAAATGTGCATGCATGATCTTGGGCTGTTCTTCTGAGAGCGTAATTAGCACACGCTGGTGAATCTTTGGCTCCAAATATGTGTGATGTCATCTGGTATACCTCAAACGCGTCAGGGTTGTTATCTTCGCTATATAGGAATCTCAGTGAGTCTGCATCCGAGGAAGGTACATGAACTTGCATGAACATCTGCTCTATGTCGGCTACCATGGCTATCTCATATAACCTAAATCTCTGTATGACACCAAAGAGACTGTTCAGTAGGTCTGGGCCTGTCATCAGGGCTTTATTTAGAGACACGCCTTTATAGGTTGCAGCTGCATCGTATACCAGTCTAAGCTTGCCTTTCTGCGTATTGGTAACAGCATGGTGAGGTAAATACCATGTTCTCTGGCTGCATAAACCTGCTTCTTCGGGAGTAAGCTTGCGTGCATATCCTCTGCTTATGTTGTCTCTCATTATTCCTCGATACTTCTCTTCAAAATTCCTGTCTTTCTCGAAGCGTTTATTTAGGAGTCGGTAGCGGTCTTTGGCCATTTCCAGGTTGTTTGGTAGAGTAGATTTTTCTGATTTCCACAGCATGCCAACTTCATAGTTTCCATTCACTAATTTCTTGGATTTGTCTAACATTGCTTCAGCTTTTCTGTCTTCTGTCAAGAACGGGTTGGAATATTGATAAGATACTCCAAATGTCTCTGTAGACCAAAATTGTTCCAATGACTGATCACTGACAGAGAGGAGATTCACAGACAGGGGTGATGACTGAGATAAGTGTGAGTCTGTACCTATCAGGGACCATCCTAAGTATGTTTGCACTGCTATTGGCTGATCTTTGCTTCCTCTCCTGATTCCATATTGAATGTGAGCTTCTGGTTGGTCCACACCAATGAGAAGTCCGACTTCTGATGGAGTAATCACATTGGGAATACCTAAGTTCTGGCAATGAAACCATTCTGGGTTGAGTCGCTGTTCCGAGCATTGGAACTTATTCACTGGCAAAGTTTTTGCATTTCTAATATTCAAAGGAGGTGCTGACTCTGACTTGACTAAAAAGGAAACATTCTTGGACTTCACATGGCTGGAGGAATTTAGGGTGTTAACTGTCAGGGCACAGGTTTCTCCATTCAAGCCAAGATCGAATGCGAGTGATTCTTTTATAATTGTCATCTGACTTGCTGAGTCTAGTAAGGCTTCTGTTTCAATCGTCCTCCCATTGCTCATTACATGTACGGGTAGTAGCTGGAAAAAGGCTTTATGATCTGAGTCTCCGGTCCCAGTGGAGAGCACAGCGTTTCCAACTGGCGCTGATTCTCTTAATTGGTGTAATAAGGTGTGATGTTTTTTGGCACAATGTCTCCAGCGACCTGGATTGCGGCACTCTTGGGCTCGATGTGACCCTTTTAAACAATTAAAGCATAGTCTCCTAGCTTTAGCAAACTCTCGTCTTTCTTCGGTGGACTTGTTAATAAACTGTGTGCATTTTGAGATGGTATGGTTCTCCTGGTATAAACAACTACTTTCAGGCACGGGGGTGACTGAGGGCGTTTGATTCGCAGGGTTGTGCCTTGGCTGGTAAGCTGGAACAGTAGATGTGCTACTAGCAATATTATGCACTGTGGCCTTTTTTCTTGGAGGGTTTTCTGGAAGAGAATTCTTTCCATAAATGGGATCAGTTAGAATTCTGGCCTCTCTCTGCACAAAGTCAACTAATGTCTCAAAGGTTACCTTTAATCCTTTTTCCTTCTTCTTGTAGGCGTGCGACCTCCATCGATCTTGCATTGGTTGTGGTAATTTCTGTGAAAGCTTCTTAATATTCTCTGGATATTCAAGTATGGTAGTTGAAGCAATTGATCCTACAGCATAGTGACATTCTCGTAAGAAAATCCCAAAATTGTCCAAAGCAGATATATCTCCTGGCTTTACATTAGGCCACTGTGTTGCCTTTTTGATATAACTCTGAGCCACATACTCTTCTTCACCATATCTCCTCTGGACTATTTTGCGTGCTTCTCCCCTGATGTACTGTAGCAAATAACTTATCTTTTCATCTGGTGAATCACAAATGTTTGCTACTCTAGAATTGAATTGGCGAATGAACTGTGTATAATGAATTGGATCTCCTTCAAATGGCAGAATTTCAATTTTAGGCTTACTCAGCTCTTTTACCAGGGTTGACTCATTCAAACTGGATGGTATAGTACTCTGTGGTTGAAGTGTAGCCGCCTTTGGTGTAGATGTTTTGGGACTGCTACTCACATAGAAATGTTCTCGTAGTTTTGCATATGTCTTATCAATGGCGGACTCTACCGCGAGGATTTCTGCCTCTATTTCACTTAGTCTTTGAGAATTCATCACAGAGTAGTTTTTGACTGAATGTTGTTGAAATAAAAATAAAAACAAAGAATGTTCCAAAGTTTTTTGTAAACGCGCTTCTGTTTTATTTCTTGCTCTTTAAAGCCCGACTTGCGGCTTGCATGGTTGTACATGTAGCTTGAAGTGATTCTTGCGAAGCGAAGCAAAGCGTAGAGTAGCGAAGCAAAGTGAAGCGGTCAAAACTGTAAGAAAACAATAAAACAAAATTACTTAAAAGGCACACTATAAACGGTTGAACTAAATTAACAAGTTTAAATAAATAGAGTTTACAAATACCAGTAAAACAACTAACAAGGCAGCAAAGCTGTCAAATGTACAGACAAAAACCAGAAAATAAAAATGCAGAAAATGGGTCATTTTGTCAATTTTGATGCAATAATAAATAATGCCTATAATAGCACTGTCAATCAACACTGAATTTTAATCATGCACAACCGGTAACATGGTCAATAACAGGAGCAGATCCAGAGGTATTTTCTGACAGTATTCCAAATTATCTTTGTTGATCCATCCTCCATTTTTGATGGTCTTCCAACAGAAAAAACAGATACCCATCAATGTGAACTTTAAAATCTGACCATCTTCTGAAAGACCCAGAAGACGGCCTCAATCCGCCCCTGCAATAAGATTACAGTTTCAGGACCATGAGAGTTCAAATTTACATAATGAAATTTGAAAAATGATGACAGTGCATAAAATAATATTACATAATGTCAAAGACATAAAAACCAATGCAACTGCTTATGTGGAAATACAGAAAATGTGAAGAGCTTCAGGTGAATGGGAGCTGAAAATGTTTGAAAAAAATTTAAAAAGAAAACACCACAAAAATATTCCAATAAAGCTGCTATTCAAACTTTTAATCTTGCTGTATTAACATGATATGAATAACCCCAATGTGTTTGAGGATAATACAGCATTAATGTTGGCGTTACACAATTTTTTTTTTCTTTTATAAACTTATTTGCAATATTAAACAACATTTACCTGCATAATTATCACCAATTCCTAATTATGTGACACAGTTAAGAGAGCTTAATCTATGGGGCCTTACTGGGAAATCTCAATGTGTGTTTTATGTAATCCTATTTAATGGGCACTTGGAAATTAATTTGGCAAGTGATTTTATAGCTCTGAACTTAGCTTGTGACTACCCCAAGGGACAATTACCACCATCCATAAACAGTAGCCCCATATAGCACTCTTTAGAGCTGCATTGCTTCCAAAACAGAAAACAATCACACTGATTTTCCAACACAAACTGCACTTCAGTCTTAGGAAACTTTTCAGTTAGTTTGAATATCATAAGTAACATGGTTTTTCCTTAATGATCATTCCGGCAGTGATGTCCAAAATAGGGTTTTCTTCAACTTTTATCTAATATAACATAACGATCATCAATTTTTAATAATAAAATAAAAGTATCATGGATATTCAGAAAATGTGACATGGAAAGGTCTTCAAGGCCATGGAAGTTCAGAGTCACACCTTCAAAATGCCAAAATGTAAACGAGATAACTGTACTGAAATGACACTACTTTGGAAACTCGTGGAAAGCGTGGAAGCATGGACTGATTCGTATCCCATAATAATCTATAACTTAAAGCAATCACAACTAAAGCAATTCGCGCAATAACAACAAAAGAACAACAAACGCAATCGTTCACAGTCCATGTAATACATCATGCCTCATCAAACTTCATGAGCATTTTATAGTTTGCTATATTCTCCTCAGTTTATTCCAAATTTTTTTATTTTATTATTATTTTTTAAATTTTATTTATTTTATTTTATTTATTATTATTATTTATTTTTTACTCTTAGCTGCAAACCATGTGTTATCTGATGCGATCACCTAAGATAGCTAATTCAGAAGTGCTTGATTTTACATCTTATATTTTTCTTCAAAATAATATCAGCACCGGTTCACACAGCTCAAAGCCCCATACATCTGACCCATAGAATACTATTGGTGCAATCATTTTATTAAAAGGTGTAAATGCAAGATGGGGTTGAACTTTATCACAATAGTATTTCAACTTGTTTATAATAATGGTAACTTTTCCTTGTCTACATACTCGATTTATTTACAGCTTTTGCTCATATTATGCTATGGGTTATTCTATAATACACATTTAAAAACCAATGTTTCACATAGTCATAGTTAAAAATAAAGATGTAGTATTGAAACTGATTTCTCTTACAGAATTAGTTGTACTCTGCCATTAGTACTTTAAAAATGTGCATGACTAACACAGAGTTCTAATTTAGTTTCAGATATCTGCAAACTTTTGGGACAATGCATAACTCCCTGTTTGGTAAAGAAGTCCCAAGGTCTCCAGGCTGAACAGAGAGGCATCCCAGTCAGCTTTCTTCACTGCTACAACCAGAATGACAGACATTATAGCAGTCGCAGAAGATCACCAACTCAGTGTGGTTGACACTTGAGATCTTCAGTAAAGTCCTGGATGCACATTTCATCAGCCCTAATAGTGCATGGTGGTTTTTGTAGTCAGCAAACTGAAACATATGTAGAGGAAGTGATAAGCATGAAGTACTGAGTCAATGCAGAGATAACAGTACACAGCCAGAAGCAGACACAACAGGCTGCTAAGTCACAAGGCAGACTTTCACCTATCACTACAAATGCAAAGTCTATGTTAGTGGAAATGGAACAATATTAGGGACACCTTTGAAATACAGATACTCAGTACATTTTTTCCAATGCATGTTGCTCAAATTCTGTTATTCCAGAATGCCATTTTAGTTCTACATATCATGCTAAATGTACATGTACAAATTCAGCCGTTTTTGTACACATTTCTTTAATCCTTAATTTCTATTTTAAAGTAAGGATGTTCTCAGTGTGTATGTAACTGCAATCAGTTTCACTTTCACCATACATGTGTGCACTGCTAAATGTCTGATGTAAAAAATAAAGCTATGAAACCGAGACATAAGTCCTCATTTGGTGAGCAAACAGCAATGTTGAATTTAAGTTGTAATAAGGTGAAAGGGATGTTAATTCAATTCAATCAGGTTGAATAAACTTTCATGAGATAATATTCATCCCGCCATTATACAGCCTGAATGTACACATACGTTTAATGAAACGGTCTGCTTCAAAATGCCTGGAACAGATCTTGGCTTTCTCTGGATTGAAGTAGCCATCACATCTGTTGATGCAGTGGATCAGCTGACTTCTCCATTCATCTGAAACCTCAGACACCTCTGTGGATATGAAAAGATATACATTTACCACCTTAATTCTAGTACTTTCCTTGGAAATGGGAGTTTTTTTTTTTTTTTTTTTTTTTTTTTTTTGTGGAATCAAAAAGCTAGCATTTAGGCATATGAAGGTGTAAAATATTGAACATTATGAGATATCATGAAATGTTTTATTTATAATTATTGTGAAAGTAGATAGTTATTCACTTGGGGAAAGGTGGAAGAGAGGTAATAATAAAATGGTTTGCTTGATTATTATTTTGTGTTGCTTCAATTTTACCTTAAGCAAGCTGTGAAAAGAGAGACCCTTGCACTTCTGTAAATTAAGAGGCACTGCATAAAACAACACAACAGAAACTCCTTCCTGACATCCTTGAAAAGAACAGAATAAAAATTTACATTTATAATGC